AAGATTTTTAACTCAAACCGTTGCAGTCTGTCAGTCTTATAATGGAATTGAATGGGAATCACGGTTTTGAGAGTCAAAAAAACAAACAGAAACAAAACCAAAGTAAGAAGAAGAAGAAGATCAGGACGCGCTCAGGACAGTTCAGACAGTTCATACATTGCAGTGCATTGCAGTTCATCAGAGGTAAAAAACGATTTAAATACTGTTCAGTTTCTTGCACAGACCGATCGTTTCATGTCTTTACACATCAATGTATCGTCACGAGCCGCAGCGTTTAATTTGGCTTTGTTTGTGTGTTTTTGTTTTTACTCTCAAAACCGTGATTCCCATTCACTTCCATTATATGACTGACAGACTGCAACGGTTTGAATTAAAAATCTTCGTTTGTGTTCTACTGAAGAAACAAAGTCACCTACATCTTGGATGCCCTGGGGGTAAGCAGATAAACATCAAATTTTAATTTTTGGGTGAACTATCCCTTTAAGAATGAATGTGAAGATTTAGGTGTGAAACCATCAGGAACCATTTAGTCTCCAGTGCCACCATTTTCCAGAACTGCAACCTACCTGGAGTCTCCAAAAGTGCAATGTTTTCGGTTCTCAGAGACTTTGCTTTGGTAAAAAATCCTAGAAAATGACCCTCATTTAATAAGAATAACATGCTGAAGTGTTGTGAAATACATGAAGACTGATTTTGAAGGACCAGCATCACATCCACTTGTACTACTCTTTCAAGAATTTGTCTTCAAGAATCTGGCAGTAAGTTTTGGGAGTTCATTTTTAGTCCATCTTCTTTCCTGAAAAGTCCGTCTTGCAGAGATGGACTAAAAATGAACTCTTTTCACACCAAATTCTTCACCTTAATTCTTTTGCAGTTAACATGTCTTTTTTTTTTTCTCCACCTGTTTTTTCTGACCCAATGTGCATTTCGCTGTCCAATGGTCATGCCTTAACTTTGCAAATTCTAGTATTGCATCCTTCTCATGGGCATTTAATAATTTTTTACTTTCAGTCTGAGTTAAGTCTCTTTTTTGGCTCATTTTATATGTAAAAGAAAACCTGCCTAATAATTCTGCACACCAGAATATAAGGAGTTTTTCACTTCCAGCCTTCGTGGACAATTATATATCACTTATAAATGATTAAATACAAAATGAATAGTAGTTATTAAGATTGATGTGGTTTGGAATTGGTCAAATGTGCTTGGAAAAAAAATTATCAGAATATCAACTTGCCTAATAATTATGCACACACTGTAGTGTTTCTGTTCTGTTGAATTCAATTTGGTGTCAAAGTTGTTATTCTGTTGTAATTTTTTCTGGTTGCATGTTTAGGAAATTGCTTTGGAGAGGAAGGCTGTGAGGCTCTCAGGGAAGTGATGGAGAGCGTGAACATGGAAGATCTGCTGGGCTCGCTCAGGTATTTATCTGGGTTTTATTGGTTGTTTCTTGTATAAATAAATTGAAGGCAAATTCATATTTTCCTGTATTTGAAATACTTTTACAATTAGACTAATGAAAGATGCGCTTAATGCAGTGATGATGAAGGAGAGCCTGAAGATGATGATGAGGAGGAGGAAGATGAAGAAGAGAAGGAAGATGAAGAGGATACAGAGGAAAATGGTGTCAATGGAACAAAAGATGTCATTGAAGAAAAGGTGATCCTAGCAAACATCTGCATGCCTGAATGGACTGCTAAACCTGATGTGTTTCTATTTTACATCAGATGAACAATTTGGAGTTTACCTGCATTGTCCTCTCGCCACAGGAGGATCCTCACTGTGGTTCTGAGCTCACGTCCTTCCTCATCTCCCCATCAGCTGAGAAACTGATCTCCCTTGGAGCCAAAAGGATCCAGCTCATTGAGCAGCAGGTACAGTGTTGATTCATAAGGTTCAGCTGTACATCAGGATGGTTTAACTTGTTCTCCAACCCCATGAAATCATTTCCTCTTTTTTTTTTTAGGTTGACGTCTCAGATGCTAGTAAGGTGTCAGAAGTTTTTCTCAAGATTTCATCAGTATACAAAGACGAACCAGAAGTAAAGCAAGCTATATTTGAGAGCACTGGTATGACTTAATACCATACAATTAAACATTTAAAGGGGCAGTTCACCCCAAAATGAAAATTGTCTCCACTTACTCACCCTCATGTTGTTCCAAACCTGTGTGACTAATCAGCTGTTCATCTTCTTGGCCAGATGCCCTGTTGAGGAAAGCCTTTTCCAACTCCTACTCTCAATCTTATAGTTTTATCTGCTCACTGATAGTGAACCTGGGACTTTTAAAGGTACTATACTCGATGTGATGCTCAGTTCGGTTTGTCTTTCATTTCCCCCCGTTTTGTCAGTGTTGTTTATTACTGCTGTTTGCTTTTCCAGAGTGAAGATAAGAAGATAAAGAAGGTAGCTGTACTGCCTGGACACTTGCTTGCTTTGGAGCGCGCAGCTGCACAAGAGTTTTTCCCAGAAGATCAGGCTGGAGTTCTGCAAGAATTTGTGTCACGGTTAGTTTGTTCAAAATATAATGTATATCTAGTTTTATTGCATTTTCCTGACCACCTATGCACTCAAAATAAAAGGTAGAAAGCTACAGTATCACTGCTACTTTAGGGTATTACCTTAAAGGGGTCCTATTATGCTCTTTTACAGTCTTGATTTTGTTTTGGGGGTGTACTAGAACATGCTCTCATGCTTGGTGGTTCGAAAAACACATTATTTTTCACATAATTTACATTATTAAAATACCTTTCTCCCCAGCCTTGGCTTATTATGTTATACTTGTAAGAATTGTTCTAGACATGCCGAAAATGACGCTACAGCACAGCAGCTCTTCTTCTTTGTTTTCTCTGATGCACTAACTCTGCAGCAGCACTTCTTCGTCATCTCGTCTGATGCACTCACTCAACCAAGTGTTCTAACCACAACCTCGCCCCTCCCCACCCCCCAACCATTCGAATTTCTGGCCCAAACATACACACTACACACTGACTAAAATTAAAAAAGTGAAAATCATAATAGGACCCTTTTAAGGTACAATAGCTAAAAGATACATCTTTGTACCTCTTTTACCCCTTAATGGTAAATGTTAGTACTTAAAATGGTACATATCAGTACAGTACCTTTGGAAAAGGTTACCACCCTAGTGACAGTTTTGTACCTTTTTTCTGTGTACTTTAATGATCTTAAGACATTACATATATGTATTTGTTTGTTTTCCAGAAATGGCAAAGTCTTAGAATCCTGCTGCAATGCCAGAGATGCTCTCAAGACCACGTTGGTGAAAAGGACCACTGCTTAATTCTTAAACACCCCATTATAGAGCCACTGAAATTTCTTAATACGGGTCAAAAAAAAAAAAAAAAACCTTGACAGGATACATGACACTTTGTAAACTATTGATCTAGTTTTATCTAAGTTCAGTCAATTCTGGATCCATTTTGGCATGCAGATCTCAGACTGCAAAGGTTGGCAAAGTACAGTGATGACTAGTGCCTCATGACAATGAACTGCATTTCCTTACAGATCAACTGTGGACAGTTAGCTTTGAATAAGAGTGTTGTGTTCTTTCATCTCTTTTTAGAAATATTGCTTCTATTTTTATACATGGAAAGGGAAAATGGGGGGAAAAGGCATTGGATGATAATTAGGACTTAATTATCGCTTAAACCTTAAATGATTGTAATGTTATAACTGATATTTCTAAACAATTGTCAATACTTAAACTGTCACATTGACATGGAGCCTCGGAGCATGTTCACTCTCATGCCTTTTATTAGATGTGCCATATTGTGAGATACTGGTGGTGCAATTAAAACCAAAATCAAGTAGTATAAACATCTTAAAGTCTTTGGATTGAAATGAAGAAGGCAGTGAAAGCGAAGTGGAATTTTTTTTTGGGACATTAGTATATTTAATACTAGAACTGGTATGCACTGAATATTGTCATATTTGCAACATTCCATTTTGTTGATATTAAACAGTTTTCTTTTCTTGGGAGAAAAATCGTGTTGTCTGTGTTTCAGTGTAATATTCACCATTTTCAAATTTAAAGCCGTTGCATGCAGTTATAAAGTCCTGTAGTTCAGCTCTCACTCCAATGCGCTTTCACCAACCAGCTGAGTGACACAAATGCCCCAAGTTCACTGAGCCTTGAGCGGTCCAGCAAGCCTGTCGGGCGATTTTCTCAGTGTCTTGACTCTGAAAAGAATATAGGTGTTGAACCACTTGGAGGGAGCCTTCTCTCCTCCGGTGGTTTATTTATGAGAGACTGAGAACAGTGCGCGTCTTTGTGTGCTGCAGAGCCGTGGTCTGAAGTCTCATGGGACTCAACCAACATATTTCGCAGTTGGAAAATCATTTTTTCGGCTGCTTCGGTTTCGCTGATCCGTAAGAAGTAGAGTTTTAAAACTCTTTTTATGTAATTATTTTCTCCGCATTTGTTCGAAATTTTATTTTGTAAGTATTTTGTTTATGACGGAGCGTGTTTATGCGCGTTTTTGTTTATGAAGACCGTGAGAGAGTCCCTACAGATAAGGTAAGGAACATTTGAAGATTTTTATTGCATTTTTAGAGTAAGTTATTGAATGTGTTATTCCTTTAAAAATTTTAAATATTGTAAATTTAATGAGTTGTGGCTTCAAATGCTGAGTCTAACGGCTGAAGCATGTTTCACAAATTATAAAATAAACTCTTCATACTCAACAGCAGGGCATACAGTCACACTGACAATCTGCCATCAAACTGTATTAAAAGGTTTTCACCTAAATGTAAAAACCAAAACAAGGCCGTTATTGAATTGGCAGACTTTACATAAATGCCAGAACATTGTTCTGGACAACGAATCTGATCAATAATTGATTTAATCGAATTCATAACATTTTAAACAACTTGCCCTTTCCAAAATACCCACAGCTCACCTATTTGGTTAGATCTATCTTTATTATAAAGCTGACACTTGTACTGTATCCCAGTGTTATTGTCATAACTTGTTTACACCAATTTTTTTTTTAGTTTGGATGAATAAATGTAGAAATATAGCTATTATAAGAGGATTTAATTGTCAGATTTCACATTGGAGTCTGCTCCTGAAGTGCCTGTTTTGACATTCAGTTTTGAGACAGTGAAGCAGTTGCATTCAACCATAAATTATGTGAATGCCTTCAATCCAGCCAGTTCAAACATACCAGCAGAGCTCAACACTCTAAATCCTCAAATCTTGCAGCGATGGCAAACTAAACTGGCATAGTTTTAATTAAGCTTGCTGATTTTCCCCCCCTTACAAAGTAACCTGAATAAGGTAAATTAAGTTGTTACTTGGTGTTATACATTTTGTTTTACACAGAAAGACCAAAATGTTTAGCCTTCCCACGTTGTCGGTTATAATGTTACTTGCCCTGAAGTTCCATACTGTGCAGTCGGGCAAATGCCCAAAGTTCTGCATCTGTGACAACATCCAGCTCACGGTTGCTTGTGTCAACAAGAATCTCACTGAGGTGCCGCCTACCATTGATGAGGTAATCTGTGCACCACCCTGATCACTATGGCCTTATTTTTTACAGAATTTCTATAAAATTATGTAATATTTGCATTGCTTTTATGCTGCCCTCTGTATATCTTCAAGATAACAGTGAAACTCGACCTGAGAGGAAATGACATGCAGGAGCTTCCTACAGGGGCGTTCACACACACCCCTTACCTCACCCACCTATCGCTGCAGAACAGCAACATCCGAAGGGTGCGGGAAGGGGCTTTCCGCAGACTTGGCCGGCTGGTCTTACTCAACCTGGCCAACAACAAGATTGAGATCCTGTACCAGGTAACGCAAGCAAGACACAATGGATTGGTCTTCATAGTTGTAATTCTGGACAGTCTTTGCATGCATCTCATAATTTTCTCTCCTAACACACTAGGAGTCATTTGATGGGCTTTCATCGCTGAAGCAGCTAATTATTGACCGAAACAGAGTGGAGGAGATCCAGCCTGGAGCTTTTTCACAGCTTGGCCTTCTCAACCTCCTCTCACTCACACACAACCAATTGGTGTACATACCTAACATGGCATTTCAGGGTTTGCAGAACATCAAATGGCTACGTCTCAGTCACAATTCTCTCAATTATCTGGCAACAGAAGCATTTGCTGGCCTCTTCACTCTTACACGTTTGAGCCTGGATAACAATGAGCTGCAATTTTTCCCCACTGAGACGATGACAAGGTGAGCTTAAAGAAACATTCTAGGTTTAAGTTATTGACTTAGATGCCATGAACTAACAATGAACAACTTATAAAAATATCAGTCTTTATAAATTAACATTAACCTTGATCAGTGAGTCCAGGGGGGCCTCAAAATGACTTAAATGGTTTAAAGTAAGAGCAAACAAGCATTAAAATAAGCCCAACAACACCAAATTAAATATCTAATTATTTTAACTGACCTTTCAAACCATTTTCTTTTTTCTTTGAAGAACCAGTTCAAATCTTACGGTCTTGAAAAATCTAGATATATGAGGAAGCCTCATTTTAAAATTGATTTCTAGACCTGGAAAAGGCAGGTAAATGATAAAACAGTAAAAATACAGTGGTGGCCAAAATTATTAGAACACCTGACAGATCTGGAAAATATTTATAGCTTTTTGCCTCCAAAACATGATTTCATTTCATAATGTTCATGAAACATGCAGATGGTTGCTCTGAGCACAACAAATACCAGATGAAGTGAGTCGTACAGTTTTTTTTTGTCCACTTTTAACTTTAATATTTGGTATGTCCACCTTTTGCAGCAATTACAGCAGCGCACCTCTCTGGCATAGTGTCACTATATTTTCTGAGAACTTCAACACTAATGTTATCCCATGCCTTCTGCAACTCAAGCCAAAGGCTTTCCTTTGAATGTATAAGAGATCGGTCCAGTTTATTTTCCAACTCACCCCAAATTTGCTCGATGGGGTTGAGGTGTGGACTTTAAGGGGGCCAGTCCATCATTTTCAATGTTCCAGCAGATTCCTTCTGTTGCAGGTAGTTCTGGCAATAGTTAGAGGAATGTTTAGGGTCATGGTCATGGTGAAAATAAATCCAGGCCCAATAAAACGACTCCCAGATGGTACTCCGTGCCCCACCAAAATGTTGTGGTATACTTTCTTATCCATGATGCCATCAATTTTCTGAGGCTGAAATGACACCCCACACCATACTACTACCCCCTCTGTGTTTAACTGTTGGCAAGTGACACTCATTTTTATATGAGTAAAATTTATACTCATTTTTTACCCCTCTCTCCATCAAACATTCACTCTTCGCTTGTTGTCAAACTGTTGGACTCTTGGATTCATCAGTCCACAACACTTTATACCAGGGATCCTCAAATCTGGCCCACGAGATCCACTTTCCTGAAGAGTTTAGCTCTAACCCTAATCAAACACACCTGAGCATGCTAATCAATGTCTTCAGGATCATCAGAAAATCACAGGTAGGTGAGTTTGATCAGGGTTGGAGCTAAACTCTGCAGCGCATTGGACCCCAGGGCAAGATTTGAGAAACCCTGCTTTATACCAATGTTCCTTTGTCCATTTCTTGTGTTCTTTTGCAAATTTCAAGCATTTCACTCTATTTTTCTCTTTCAGTAATGGTTTCTTTGCTGCTGTTCTGCCAACAAGTCCTTCTTCTCCCAGTTTCCGACGTTGATCTTGTCACACAGTTCTCGTGAGGTCTTTCTTCAGTCCTTGTGAGGTCTTTCTTCAGTCCTTAAGACTAAGAATTTTGAGATGCTTCACTTGTCTGTCTGAAAGTTTCTTTTTTCTACCTTTCTCCTTTCGGTTCTGGTGTGAATTGGTGGCATCATGGTGGTCTAAATTGTATTTTACAGTGTTTGGACTGCATCTCACGTCCTTGGCTATGCGGCGGTAACTTCAGCCAGCATCAAAAAGGGCCTTTATTCGAACCCGTTGCTCACTCATTAGCTCCTTCTTCAGCCATGTTCAAAGAGCAACATGTGCTTCAAGACTACTTCTAGAGGCTTTGAATTTATTGGTGGTGTGGCCTCAGTGACAAAACCCTGATGTTACCAATCACTTAATGGGCAGGATAGGCCTTGTACATTCAAAAGAATCACACAGCTGTGTCCTAAGACTCTTGCACCACCATCAATTTAACCACGATCACACCTGACAATGATTACACAAGTGATTTGGCTTCTTCTGTGAAGGAACATGATTGTGTGACTGTGACTACATTTACATGGACATCGGTAATCTAATTATTTACCTTATTCTAAATAAGAAAATATTAGGATTAAGGTGTATACATGAGTTGCTTTTAGAATATTCCTTTCATGTTCCCGTTTTACATGTTATAGTACATACATAGATCGATTAGTAAAAGTAAAAGTGGGTGAGTGTGTCTGTGTGAATGGGTGAGTGAGTGTGTCCCAGCACTGGGGTTGCATGAGTTAGTGTACTCTCTGTGCTGGGTTGCGGCAGGAAGGGCATCCGGCGCAAAACATGTGCCAAATCAGTTGTGTGGATCACTCCGCTGTGGCGACCCCTGATAAAGGGAATAAGCCGAAAGAGAGAGAGTACATAGATCGATTAATGGCACACATCATTACGTCCCCTCCAGAATTTCACGTATAAATATATAGTTTGTCTTCGTTATGGTGCCATATACAGTTTTGGGTGTTTAATTTTTAATTTTACGAAAGCTTCAAGTGCAGATAATTATTTGTCATGCTATACGTGCAAACAGATGATGGCGTTGTTGAAGCCATGCCCTGCGTCCCAATGTGCATACTATCCACCCTATCTGCCTTAAATAGTATTGAAAATTACTAATATCACATTGGGACGCAGGCATGCTCTTTTGTTTGCCGTCAAATGGTTACCCACTGCCGTGTGT